CGTTGACGTGCCACCGGAAGCAGAAGCCGTATCGTCGTTACTCTGCCAGAAAGTTTCACACGATCGTTTTTGCTACCATGAACGCGAACGATCGGTAACATCATTAATAATATTGTGACAATGTTTCTATAAGACAAGATATCATGAACTAATATATCACACAACATTTGTACAAACACTTCCGAATGAAAGATATCTCAATGTCGACGTCCACGATCGTTAATGGATCCACTCGATTCTATCGGCAATTGGTATTCGATCGACGATCGGATGAATCGGGCATACCGATTGATTACGATGAAACACGTCGATATACACCGTGTTTTACATCTGGCCTCTGTTGCAGTATTATTATGATGATTCGCGTAACAGAAACGAGCGTGTGATCGTGATTCGAGTATCATGATATCGAGCCGATAACGGGCCAGCAAATCGCGCCTCTCACCGAGACGAGAGGCAACCTTCGAGCTTATCGTTCGGACTGCTAGCAGATCCTCCGCGCGAATCCGCGAGAACCTCTTAGAGAACCTTGGACCATTCCGCTCAATGTGACACGCACGGCTCCGACGGATCTTCGTCCCTTCTTCGTTCGTGTCTTCGACGAATTTCCATCCTGAGGTTTACTGGAAATCGAATCATCGAGAGCCTCGAACATTCTCGGAGATCCGACAAAGTTTGGGATTGACGAATTTCGGGTTGTCGACGTTTCAGTAAATTCCAGATGCCTGTAACGTCGTCGATCAATCTTGCGAGCTCTTTTTTTCTAGTCTTTCTTCTTCGACGGAGGAGTTTTCTTAAAATTCGGGTCGATCGATCGTGCGAATTCCAGAGATGGGAACGAGATTGATTTTCGATTCTCACACCGGTAAGAGAGAAATTTAAAGATCGGAACACGAGTGGAAGAAGGGATAGTGAAATGAACGAATCGCGATCGTCTCCGACGGTTCGAAAGGTCTAAAGCGTAGTGGATCGATTGTTAAATCGTCGGAGGATCGACGGAGCCGACACGAAAAAAAACGAACCGAGACTTTTGATATCCGCTTTTTATTGTTTTCGTCTACCAGCGTTTCTAATTTTCTACGAGGATTAGCGAGCGAGAGAAAATTGGTGGAGGGAGACGAAGGATTTTTTCTAAAGATAGTCTTTCTGGGGTGACACGCTTGCAGGAAAAAAAAAAAAAT